AGAAAAATATCAAATGCCTAATATGAAAAAAATAAAAAACGCAAACAAATCTCCCCAAATTTTAAAGTTTCATCCATACAAATTTCAGTTTATTAACAAAAGATTCTAGATATTATTGAACTGCTAGTAAGGGATTTTAAAATAAAGTCCTCCAGGCATGGACTAAGGAATTTATTCATTTGAACATGTTCTATGATAAACAATCCGGTGAAAGAATTATAGATATGCAAATGTCCACCGCCCTTCCCTATGCCCCAGCAGGCAGCCTTATCAGCCACCACCACCACCATCACCAATCAACTGCCATGTAGGAATAACATGCAAGCATAAAAACTAGGTAAGATATAGGTAGCAATTTTTTTTTAAGGGTAAAAGAATTCAGGCCAAAAAAAAAAAAAAAAAAAAAAAGAAAAAAAAAATAATAGCGAACACGTAGGTAGAATAGTTTTTAGACAAGTACTTTTTAAAGTGTAGCGTCGTCTTCAGAAGCGTTTGCCTCCAATAGCGCTAATCTCTCCTCTAAGGATTTTATCCGTCTTTCATGAGCCTTGACGATAAGTTTCAGTTTTCTGATATCGTCCAGAATTCCCTGTGGGTCAAAAGCCTGTGTGGACAGAGAAAGAACATTCATAGAACGGTCAGTGAGTGGAGAGAGGGGGGAGGAGGGAGAGAATGGCATCCCCTGGAAAAGGAAAAAATGTTATTGGTTTGGTGGGGGGAGGGAGAGAGAAAAGAGAGAGTGTGAAGGAGAGAAAAGAGAGAGTGTGAAGGAGAGAAAAGAGAGAGTGTGAAGGAGAGAAAAGAGAGAGTGTGAAGGAGAAAAAAGAGAGAGTGAGAGAAAGGAGAGGGAGATAAAGAAGAGAAAGAGGTGTGAGAAGAGATAGAGAAAAAGGGTGAGATAAGAAGAGGAAGAGAGAAAGCACGAGAGCGAGAGAGAGAGAGAAGGAATGAAAAGGGAAGCATAAGATAATGAAGACAGATAATTTGAAAAAATAAAAATGAAATTTCAAGAAAAGAAAAATAAACAAAATTGACAAGATAATCAAAAGTAAAACAAAAATTCTTTAGAACTGATTTGAATTAGAATTATTCAGAAAATGGCAGTCAACAATCGATTCAAACTTTGAGTGACCAGTTAGTCATTCAATTGCAATTTCACACATTCATTTGATTAACAGGTCAACATGAAATTACCAAACTAAGAAAAAAAAGTCTTTCCTTCATTCAGTCAAATGGAAATCAATAAAAGTAATCCTCCTCCACCATTTAATCATATATATATATATATATATATATATATATATATATACACACACACGAGTATAAGTCAAAAGTTTGGAGCAACCTTCTGTATTTCAAAGAATTGCTTAAAAATTGAAGGTTTCATGCCTTTTTCAAAACTCATTTCATAGCTCACTTCAGGGCAAAGGGACTTTCTATTCCTGAAGGCTTTTTTCCTATATGCAATAATAATAATAATAATTAAATTAACCCATTACTGCTTAAAATGTAAGCACTTTTTACTTTCTCGGCCATGCTGGATAATGGCATGCTTAGGTACCGCCCAACCCTTATGCAAAAAATTGGACACCATTCACGAATAGGTTAAATAATTTCTGCATCCTAATTTAGTAGGAGTTAATTAAACCACAGAAAGCATGGAATTTACTAATTATTAAATCCAGAGGACGGATCCAAACTTTTTTGATATAAATATATATATATATATATATATATATAAAACCATCAAAGATATTTTCTGCTGCTGCATTTGACAATAGAAATAAAATTATGGCAATGAATTTTAGTCATGTGACCTGTAGGGGGAAAAATAATTACAGATTACTTAATGTACACCTGAGAAATGTTGGAGAACCCACTGTCCAAAACAATGACTCAAACAACAAAGATGAGGATGTTTAGATAATTCATCTAATAACAACGAATATCAACACAAGATTTCGCACAACACACATGTCCAAGAATTTCAATGAATTTTCAAAAATGTCATTACAGACACATATTTTATATATATATATATATATATATATATATATAACATTCTCTTTTTCTAAGTTTAACAAGAAAATTAAGAATCAAAAGACGAAAGGAAGAAAAAAAATGACTATTTTCTTCAAATTTATATTTCAATTTTAGTATACACACAGTGCCAGCTTTAGATGAAGAGAGGCCCCTGGCTATTCCACTTGTGGGGCCCCAGGCTATTCCACTTGTGAGGACCTCCAAATTCTCCATTCTCATGAGCAGAGGAAAATGGAAGTGTTAAATTAAACAATTTAAAGCCAAGGATAATGACGAGTGTTTAAAATTCCACAGTTGATAATTCCTCCTCTAAAGGACAATAAGATATTATTGTTAAAGACAGTATGTAACTAAAAAAAAATGCATGAATGTTAAAATTTAAAAAACTTTATAAATAAATCAATGCTGGCATAGAATTATCAGCTTAAGACAGAATTATTCTGAAATGGAAAGTTACTGAAGGTTTGTCTAGAGTCAACAATGCATTATGACAGCATATGTAAGAAAGGCCTATGACAATATCAAAAATATTATACATCTTGGCTGGAGGTGCCCTAGATATTGAGGCCCTAGGCTAAGCCTATAGGTAAATCCAGCACTCCTTACATAGATTTGCATAATAAAAATTACTTGACAATTTTTAAAATTTTCTAAGTATTTTCATTTTTCTATGATTCATTTAGACTAATTGTCTATCTAGGTTGTTTTTAAGACAATGCTTTGGCCAATATATTCTTTGACCAAATGGCACTATCTGAAATTCTTATTTTTGGCACATTATCTTCAGTGTTGTTGTTGTCTTTGATACAAGGTTACGGCAAATACATCCTTATGCAAATTAATTGAAACAACCACTTTAGTTTCTTTTCTTTCACCATACAGTCAGTTTTTGACCCACTGGAGGGACAGGGTGTAATTGATTTCTATTTTTTCCTCAGATTAGGTCATTTGCACTGGTGTGCAGTAATGTGAATCTATTTTCGGGGTGTATGATGAAATTTATTTCACCTTGAAAAATATTGCGTCATCCGTGATTTCATCAGATTTTCATCAGGCCCAGACATTATTGACACAACTGTCCTACGGCCATTGTCTGCAATGGACATTACCCCAAAAAAGTGTACAAAAATTGTAACGCTGCACAAAAACACTGGTAAGCCTTACCAGTGAGCAAATCAAAATACTATAGACTTGCCCGAAAACTCTCCTGATTTAAATCCAATCAAGACTTCATGGAATGGACATACGAAGTACTAACATGTGCACTGGGTCATGTTTTATTGGAAAAATTCAAAAAGTAAATAATAATGGAATTATTCGTTTTGTTTCAATCTGCACAAGAGTGTAGGTGATCATGGCTCTCCACATCTTCCTACATAATTAATTTGCACAAGGGTGTACATACTTCAGGCCTCAAAGAGTTCCTTCAGTTTTTAAAATAGATTTATTTCTATTCAGACATTTTTAACAAGTATCCTCATCTTTGTTGTTTGTAATGCAAACTTCTATGTGCCATGACCCTTCATGATGCTATCAATCATGGTTCTCCACGATTTCCTGTCCTTTGTAGTTCTTAGTAAATTTTGTCTTTTTGCTATCTTTCCTAAACCCTGTTTTGCTATTCATTTGTTCAAGTTTGCTAGGTAGGTTAGTTTTCCTCTGTCCATTTTGCCTTCAACTATGTCCTATGAGTGTCAAATTCTCCAAACCCTCTTTCCTCATTATGTAACCTAGAAATTTCAACTATCTCTTTTTGATATTAAGTGTCCTTTTAATATTCTCAGCATCCTTCTGTAGAACCACATTTCTGTTGCTTCAAGTCTCTTCTTTATCTGTGAGGAGGTTGTCCAGTATTCACTGCCATATAAGGAAGACCAATATTACGTAACAGTTCAGTACTCTTTTCTTTATTTCTAACAAAATTTTCCTGTTCCTTAATACTTTGCTCAGCTTTTGGAAGGCATCTTTTGCTACATTCTTCAATTTAACTAAACCTCTGGAATTAAGCCTTTTCACTATTTTGTATATTTTTACTGGACGAGCATCTTCATCTTTATTGTTTTTAATATATCTCAACCAATTTATTCGTCAACTGTCTTCCTCCTTTTTATCTGGTGCCATTTTACTGCCCTGTGTACAGAGGGGTGGCGTTGTCAACCCCATCCCCAGTTTATTTGAAATTCAGAGTAGTTCTTCCTTTAGACTGGCTGACAACTTGAGCTATACAGCCCAGGTTGTCCTGCTATTTAACCCATAGCTGGATGAAGGCAAGAGATGGATTCATAACTTGGCCAAGGGTATTTGTGTAAAAGTGAATGCAACAAACTCAGTCTGAATCAGCATGCCAGTGATCATTATGCTTAGTGCACATCATCAGCCAATTCATTTATTCACCTTTTTCATGGGGCCTGTATTCAGTTTTTGGTTCAGTTAAGGGCACTGAGTGGAAGTGGGTTGACAACTGAAGAATATAACAGGCAAAATAGAGCGTTAAAAATGATACAGATTCCCTGGAATAACTGATAAAATGTTCTCAGGAATAACCTATAAAACATCCACGAGAATAACCTATAAATAATTTCTCAGGAATAACATATAAGACACCCTGAGGAATAACTTATAAAACATTTTCAGGGATAACCTGTAAACGATTCCCAGGAATAACCCATACAAGATCCCCAGGAAGAAACAACAAGATTTTCAGGAATAACCCTTAAATGATCCCCAGGAATAATCTGTAAGTGATTCCCAGGAAAACACATAAAAGATCCCCAAGAATAACCTATAAAAGATCAGGTATAACTTATAAAAAGGAAAGAGTGAATACACTTCCATTCAGAACCTCAGAAAAGGCAAGATAGTTGATGAATATAAGAGCTAAAATAAAACGCTGCAAACAAAGATGAAAAAATATTGGAATGATGAGATGTTCACTATTTTGTTCTTTGAATACTTACGGGGGGCAGAACTGGTTGGCTTGCTGGTATGTCATTAGAAGCCACATTAGAAAGGTTTGCCGATTGTCTTGATGCAGGGACACTTTTTACTGCTGGTGCTGGTGTTGGGGCTGCTACTGGAGTAGGAGCTGGGGCTGGAGCGACAGGAGCCGGCGGAGTAGGCGCTGGAGTGTGGACCACAGGCGCTGGAGCAGGCGTTGGGGCCACAGCAGGGGAGGCACGTGTTGGGGCTGGTGGATGAGCTGCAGCTGGTTGGGAGTTATCATTCGGTGCCTTCATCGGCATTTTGTCAAGGATGTTGGACCTCCGAACAGTTTTAACCGATTCTTTCTGGGTTGATACAAAACCTTCCTTTAGTGACACCTATATCAAGAGCAAAAAATAGAACAAGAAAATTTAATGGTTCCTGATTTTCCAAATGAGCATGCATTTCTTTAACCTTATATGGCACTATTTTTTTTAAAATTTTATTTGTATTGGCATGTGATCCTGCCTGAAGTGACGATTAAAATATAAGTATGCTGATTTCAAGAATCTGAGAGGTATTTGCACTTATAAAGCTCTATTTAGCCTTGCTTGATCAGTGCTAAAGCACATTAGATCTAATGAAGGTTTCTCCTGAAAAGTGGGATGCAGTTTCAAATCCTGCTGAGGACATTTTTTTTTTCTTTAATAAAATTCCTTGAATATTCATGCTGGTAGGCGAATATAAAGATATTTGAATTGTTTAACAGCCCATCAACTACTTGATGGGTAATTTAATGCTGAAATTTAATATTTTGGGGAACTTTGAAGTAATAAAAATATATCTTGTTCTACTTTCACAATTGAATACATGGTAGATGAAACTCAGCTTTTGTACATATACATGTTTGTGTGGACATGATTACTAGAGACAATGATGTGTGTGTTTTATGTTATACTTTGGTTGAAGTTATATTTTGGAATACAGTTTGATCTGTTTAAGAAATTGTAGGATATTATATGGGATAATGTTCTTTCATGTTGGTTGCTTGGTTAGCGGTATATCAACATCTCTATGGGTTATTTGATGCCAAAATCTAAATATTTGCATGCCTTCAACTAGAGATAAAATGTATTGTCAGTCATTTTACTTATACTTTCATAGTGTTTTGTTTTAGTTTTCACTATTTGCCCATAGCTGGGACCCTAACAGGTGCTACCACCCCGGGTCAGACTCGAAAATAACAGCAATTAAGAGGTGATTTCACACTCCTCAAAACCTCCAATCTCCCTATTAGAGGCCTTGCTGCCAGATGGAGTTTATCATCATACTCAGAACTGATAAATAAATAGACTGTTTAAATGAATAAACAAAGCATTTACTCAAATATGGGCATCCACTAAAAATAATGTTTAAAGTGATAAAATCTGTCAGATTAATAAAAAAAAAATAAATAAATAAAAAAATTGATGACTAGAAATGGTTTTGTTTCCATTTCAGATACGAAACTAAGCAAATATGATATTTCGAGAATCTGGGAAGGATTTGTGCCTTAAAGTCTCTATTCAGCTTTGCTTGATTGGCTTTGTTGAATATTCAGGCCAGGAGTTGAAAATAAATATGTTGTTTAATAAACAGATAAAGTGTCTACTCAAATATGTGTGTCTACTCAAATATGTATATCCACTAAAATTAACGTTTAAAGTGATAAAATCTGTCAGATTAATAAATAAAAAATCCATTACTTCTTTAGAAACAGACACTTATATAAATATATGTAACTGGGGAACAAGATTTATTCCCCTTGAATTGTTATTCAAACCTAGTAACATGAATGTACATTTTAAAATGTCCTTGTAATCGAAGGAATTTTTTTTGCATAATAAAACTGATTTCCATAACCAGAGAAATTAAAATTCTATTTCTACAGCCAGAAAAATTAAAATATTTTAAGAAGTAAGAAAGAAATGAAAAATTAAAATATTTTAAGAAGTAAGAAAGAAATGAAAAATTAAAATATTTTAAGAAGTAAGAAAGAAATGAAAAATTAAAATATTTTAAGAAGTAAGAAAGAAATGAAAAATTAAAATATTTTAAGTAATAAGAAAAGAAATGAAAAATAAAAATTTAAAGAAGTGAAACTCTTTGAAAAATCAACAGCTAGAAGTAAGAATATTTATTTTTATTCACCAAAACAGGGTCTGCATCTTTGCCATTAAACCAATCCTCTGCAGAAATAGCAGGGGCCTCATCAGCAGTATCAGGATAAAGATCGTCTTGGTAGAGTTCGGACTGTAATGCAAAAAGCAAAAAGAAATTCACATATGGCAGGGAAATACAACGTTTATTCAGAAAATATCCAACTATTTAAAATAAGAAAAGTGTAGCCTACCTGGGCAATAGTACCTTTGTCCCTATCAAAGTATTCCTCTTAAAATTTTACCCCAATATCCTTTCCACTTTTCAAAATAGTTTGCAAATTCATCTGTTGGGATCACCATAAGCTGCTTCATCACATTCTCCTTAATCTTGACCATGGTATTTAATGATCTTAGATTTGAGAAAAGCCAGAATCCACAGGAAGCTAAATCTGGATGGGAACTTAGACAACTGGGTGATATGATGTTTTGCTAAAAAAACTGCACATGATGTCATTGTGAGTGAAAGTGTTACAAAGTACACAAACTTAGTATCTATCAACTGAGTAACCTCATGGGAGAATATCTGTTCAAACAGTAAGCTCTTCTCTAATTGGTTATATGGCTCTGATTGTGTCAAGGCTATGTAACTGAGATATTCAAAATGAGTAGATACATTCTGAACAGAATGCTAATCTCCCTGCCTGACAAAGGAGCTGTTACTCTACCCCAAAGAAATAGGATTAGTTGCAGTATTATATCCAACACTTCAAAATAATATATTTGAATTTATGTAATAATTCATCCCAAAATTATTATCTATAAAAGAGTTATTTAATTTCATTTTATATATTAAGTTGATGCAAAAATTCCCAGGATCAGCTTTTTCACAATGTTAGGGAAATCTTAGAAGTGTTTCTTAATCATATACAGCCCTTTATTCCTTGTGAAATCGGTCAACTGATATATTTGTTACAAGCTTAAGGAAAAAGGGTTCTGCATGAATTTAAACAAACAAACATCAGTCCATGGTTTAAATGATTGTCTGAAAATATCCTTTAATTGATATGTAAAAAATTTTTTTTTCAATGAGGTAGGCATGGATTTTATAATGAGACTCTAAAACAAAGACAGCCTTCAACACCATAAATTGAAAACCTCTGGAAAGAAAAAGTTCTGAGTTTAGAGGAATTCGAAAAGAATTCTTGATTTTGAATTACAGGAACCTGGACAAAGTGTTAAAAGACAATACAACAGTGAGCAACTGGCTTGTTTGAAAGACACCTTGGAAGAGAAAAGATATTTGCAAATGTGACAAAGCAAACAATGTTGGAGTTAAGATGTGAAATTTTTCTACATGTGGCAAATTCATAACTGGTTTAATAAATAACTTGTCTCATTGCAACAAGTCAAAGAGAGGGTAGGAGACAAAGAGAGAGAGTGAGGGACAAAAGAAACAAACCAGAAAGGGAGGGAAGGAGGATTAAGTGGACAGACTAGAAAGGTTGGGAGGGAGAGGAACACAGAAGAACTAAAAAGGGTGGGAGGGAGTAAGGGAGAGGCCTACATGATGGGAGGGAGGTAGAGGCATGTGGATAGGCCTAAAAGGGTTTGAAGGAAAGGCAGCCAGGCAGACAAAAAAGGGAAAAAGGCACATGTACAGACCAAAAGGGGAGAGAGAGAGAGAGAGAAACAAAAAGTGAGTAGACATGAACAGAGAGAGATGATCAACTCAAGATCAATCTTTGTGTTATAGTCTGTTTCAAATTAGATCTCTTTTCTGATTCACTTGACATGTTCGCTGGATGTGAACAGTAAGAAGGAAAAAATAAAAATGTTGCTCTCTACATAGCCCCCCCCACCCCCGAACATCACGTCTTGCTCATAAAACAAATCCCCTCAAAAAAATATTAAAATAAATATATACAATATAAAACATGCTGATCATGAAGGTTGCTGCCAAAGCAAAAACATGAAATAAATGATGAGTCATGATTCACCACAGCTGCTTTTAAGAACACTGCTAATGACACTGGTCAGTTGCAGTGAATGGGTAAGCTGTCAATGTCACAACTAGTGACCTCAATCAACCACCCCAACACATGCATCAAATCCAGGACCTACCAACTCTTTCCATCTCCTAAGTCACTTCCCTTGCCCACAAAGAGACATTCCATTCATATCCTCTGTATTGACAATACAAAAAATTTTATATTAACAATTTTTGTTTTCTTATCTTTCTGCCTCACAGGCAATTTATTGCTGTTTTCATTTGTTCTCTTATCCAGCCACCATTGGAACATGAAATATTTATCTTGATGTGAACTCTTTAAAAAAGAAATGAGAATTGGTAAAAAGTGCAGTTACCTTTCTTGGAACAGTAAAGGGGATGACCTCACACAGACCATTATTTTGTAGCTTGTAAAATCTGTAAAGAAACAAAAGAAGAATTTTCAAAAAGGAAGAGAATGTGTATAAAATAAATAGTGAAATGCATCACTCATTGAAAGGTCAAATATTGACATTTTTTCCTACAGACTTGAATATTACAATTTGGGACACCTGGTGAAAGTAGGAGAAAGCAGTGGTCAAAACATTGTGACTGAAACACAAACACGAAGCTGCTAATCTAAATAATTCATGAAATAACGACAGTATTTTACCCGATAGTATTTGAAAACATAAGGAAAGCTGAAGAATACACCAGTCACATTGGAGTGATTAAAATTATGAAGATGAAGACATTCCAAGTTTCTCTTGACTTTCTTTAAAATCAAAAATTAAGTTCAAATATGCAAGTTAGGAATCATCATCATAACCATATTTTTTGATTGATTTTTTGACAAGATCAGGAAGTATCTTGCAAATAGAAGTAGTTCCAACACTGAATACAGGTAATACCAGGAGGTAATTTTAGACTTCTCTGTTACGTAATATATATATATATATATGGCATATAAACCCCAATGAGTTATTTAATGTCAAGAAAATTTTTTTATTGCTGGTAATATTTTGTTTTGTCAAAAATCTGTTTCTGGTAATATTTTTCTTTCAAAATTGTATTGCTGGTAATAATTTTTTTCAAAAAAGTATTGCTGGTAATAGTTAACTATTTGCCCATAGCTGGGACCCTAACAGGTGCTACCACCCCAGGTCAGGGTGGACCTGGGAACACCAGCAATTAAGAGGTGGTTCCATGCTCCTCAAACCCTTCTGATCAGAGGTCTTGCTACTGGATGTAGTCTATTGTCTTACTCAGGACACAGATGTAGTTTAACATCTTACCCAGGACAGAGCAAGGCCTCTGATCAGGAGGTTTTGAGGAGTGTGTAACCCCCTCTTAATTGCTGGTGTTCCCAGGTCCACCCTGACCCGGGGTGGTAGCACCTGTTAAGGTCCTAGCTATGGGCAAATAGTTAACCCCACCAAAAGGGGTCAAAACACTATGAAAGTATAAAAAATAGGTTTTAATACCAGAAATACTTTTTTGGAAAGATTATTACCAGTAGTACATCATTATGAGCAATACATTATTACCAGTAGTACATTTTTGGAAAAAAACATATTAGCAACAATAAAAATCTTGTCAGCATTGAGTTTGATATGCCGTAAAACAAAACAACCAAACCAAAAAGAGTTGGATGAGTCTAATGGTGATTACGAAGGTGTTTAGAGTGATCACTAGTGATGACAATGTTATGCCTCTATTCATCTTCCCATAAGGGCCTCAGAGTTGGAGTAGTCTAATGATGATTACAATGGTATATGGCAGCTTGGAAAACTCATTCTGATTGTTCTAAGAAAAAAACTCCAATTTGTAGGTGCCTTAAGGATGTAGTGCTGCCCTGGGTCAAGAGGGTGGCTGCTGGAAGAACCCAATGCCTGACAATAGCTGTCAGGCAATTTCTGTGACCACATCACCTCTTACATCTGGCTACCTAACTCCCCATACTGCAAACCTCTTGATTATTATGTGTGCGGCACAGTTGAGCAAGAAACCAACAGAACTCCTTAATCCAAAGTATGAATTGAAGGCAAGGATTATGACAGCATTCACCAACTCAAACAAGGAGACCATCCAGAAGAGTTGCAGGAGATTCCAAAGTCGTCTGGAGGTTGTGGTTGAAGCCAATGGCGATTTTATTGAATCAATTTACTTTTTAGTATATCATGATATTTTGTATAATTTTGGTAAATATATCTGTTAAAATGAGATGTCAGCATTATTTTAATTTTGGCATAATTTAGACGACAATTTATCAATCGCACCCTGTATATCTGTTATAATGAAATGCCAGTGTTATTTTCATTTTGGCGCCATTGAGACGACAATTTATCCATCGCATCCTGTCTATCTGTAATAATGAGATGTCAGCGTTATTTTCATTTTGGGGGTCATTTAGACGACAATTTATCCATCGCATCTTGTCTATCTGTTAAAATGAGATGCCGGTGTTATTTTTGTTTTGGTGTCGTTTAGACGACAATTTATCCATCGCACCCTGTCTATCGATCTGAGTAACCTACAGGGAATTCTGAACTGAACATTTTTTGGTTCAGTTCAGAATTGCCTGTCAGTTATTCAGATCGACATATACCTGATGAAGGTCAGAAAGCAAAATGCTCGAAATGTTATGATAACAACAACAAAGGTGCGGACAACAGTCTGAATATAAATAATGTCAATAATGATAACCCTGCATCCCAGAAATTCAGGCAGAAAAAAATATTAATTGCATTTTTTAAAGAAACAATTTCAACTTTGGTCTTACCGAGCAATTTCACACTGATTGACATTCACTCCTCGTTTTGGTAGTATGCCAATTCCTCTCTGCGGCTCAGTCGACTTGTAGCCATTCAAGAAGAATACATAAGGTTCTTCGTCCGTAATTTCATAGTAAGTGATCGTACAGTCACCCTGCAAGAAGTACAAGAAAAAATATGTCATATCTTTATACCATTAGATATGCACTCTAGCTAAAAGGGATTCTGACACTTGAGTCCCTTGATCACTTTCAAATTTGAACCTTAATCCAGTGATCTCTTTCAAATTTGAACCTTAATCCAGTGATCTCTTTCAAATTTGAAATTTGAACCTTTTCAAATCCTTAATCCTGATCACTTTCAAATTTGAACCTTAATCCAGTGATCTCTTTCAAATTTGAACCTTAATCCAGTGATCTCTTTCAAATTTGAACCTTAATCCAGTGATCTCTTTCAAATTTGAACCTTAATCCAGTGATCTCTTTCAAATTTGAACCTTAATCCAGTGATCTCTTTCAAATTTGAACCTTAACCTTTCAAATTGAACCTTAATCCAGTGATCTCTTCAAATTTGAACCTACATCTCATCAATATAAATTTGGAGTAAATGTTGCTACATCTCAACAAAAGATAGTTAAAAGATAGTTGAAGGAAAAAGCAGGGGACAGGCAAACAAATTACTTTAAAATGTCATTTTTTTTTTTTAATGAATTTCACAGCTAAGTTTATTATTATTATTATTATTATTATTATAATCATCATCATTTTAAAAAAAAATTCTTTATGACCTGCATTTGTTTTATTATCAGATCAGAACCGATGACCTTGGGGAAAAGGAAAGGATTTTTTTTGTAGTTTCCACTTAAACAAAAGACAGCTATTAACAAAAAAAAGCTTAAATGAACAAAGCTCTTCACAGGCTGTGTTTGATAGAACTATTTTTTTTTAATTTCCTGGAAAGATGGTACACCATGGATCATGATATTAGTCAATGGAAATTCTTGAGGCATGGCGTCAACAAGATTTTTCACAACTCAAGAACTATTCAGAGAATACTCACAGAGTAAATAATAGCAGTTTTATGAATGTCTACAATCTTGGTCTCAATTTTCCTTAAGGATTTTTTCAGTTTTCTAGGTGGTGTTCCAAGCACACCCTTTACTACAGAAATTACTTCTACAGTCTTGTTCCATAGCTCCTTCAGCTCCCTGGTGAGATCCTGGTATTTCTCTATCTTTTTAGAGTAATGCTGTATAGTAATAACAAGAGATGGGATTTCCAAAATTGTGCAAAGTGGAGAACCCATTGGAAAAATAGAAGCTTGAAATCATAAAGCTAAGAAAAAAGTCAAGTGGACAGTTGAAAGCAAGAATGGAAATGAAATTATTTACCTTTCCGCATAAGTAGATCATGTTGGTATCAGGATCATAGAAAGGGAAAATGACACCATTGCTGTTATCAATTTCGGTCATGACCATTGGGGTGCTGAGATCTTTCTGGAAATGGAATGAGTAAAACTCAATTGGAAATGGCAAAGAGACAAAAGGAAAAATAAGAAATAAAAGTAATAATGGCAGGATGAGGAGAGGGAGGGACATAGCGACAATGTGGAGGGGGAAGTAGTGTAGGGATGAGGAGAGAATGGAGTGATAAGACAAGGAGGAAAAGGGGAACATAGTGGAGGGACAAGAAGAGAGGAAGGAACATAGAGGAGGGACAAGAAGAGGAGGGATGTAGTGGCAGGAGGGCAGAAAAAAAAATGAAAAGAAGAAACTGAAATAAAGAGGAGAGGGTGGGGAACTGAAAATTCACTGATGCAGTGAGAGAGAAAGAGGGGGAGGAATTCAAAAACGTTAAAATAATGAGAAGAAGAAGATTCGCAGACTAAGAATACCAAAAAAGAAGAATGGAAAAATCTAATTGGAACAAAAAAAAATCAATGAAAAGAAGGAATTCAAAAGTGAGGAAGAAAAAAAAAGGAAGAGGAGAATGAACTAGTGAGGAAAGGAAAAGGAAGAAAGGAGAGGAAGAGAAAAGTGAATGGACAAAAAGGAGGAAAAGGAGAAAGGACTAGTGAGGAAGAGGAGAAAGGACTAGTGAGGAAGAGGAGAAAGGACTAGTGAGGAAGAGGAGAAAGGACTAGTGAGGAAGAGGAGAAAGGACTAGTGAGGAAGAGGAGAAAGGACTAGTGAGGAAGAGGAGAAAGAGGGAGGAAGAGGGAGAAGTGAGGAAGAGAGAAAGGACTAGTGAGGAAGAGGAGAAAGGACTAGTGAGGAAGAGGAGAAGGACTTGTGAGGAAAAGAAAAGGAAGAGGAGAAAACAAGACTAGTGAGGAAGAGGGAAAGGACTAGTGAGGAGAATAATGAGGAAAAGGAGAAAGGACTAGTGAGGAAATGGAAAAGACTTGTGAGGAAAAGGAGAAAATAGTGGAGATGAGGAGAAAGGACTATAGAGGAGAAAAAGTGGAGGAAGAGGAGAAAGGACTAGTGAAAGGAGAAAGGACTAGTGAGGAAGAGGTGAAAGGACTAGTGAGGGAAGAGGGAAAGGACTTGAGGAGGAAGAGGAGAAAGGAAGTGAGGAAGAGGAGAAAGGGTGAGGAAGAGGAGAAAGGACTAGTGAGGAAGAGGAGAAAGGACTAGTGGGAAGAGGAGAAAGGACTAGTGAGGAAGAGGAGAATGAACAAGTGAGGAAGAGGAGAATAATGAGTAGAGAAAGGTAGAAATGGTAAGAGAAGAAATAGAGGATGAAGTGATATATAGAGAAAAGAGGAGAGACGGAAAGGAGGAGGAGAGGTGAGAAAGACTTGAGGGTAGGTGGGAAAAGGGGGTGCAGAGGTGTAGAGAGATGACGAAAGGCGAGAAGTTGCGTGGAGAGATGACGAAAGGCGGGCAGTTGCATGGGGAGACAACGAAAGGCGAGCAGTTGCATGGGGAGACGACGAAAGGTGAGCAGTTGCATGGGGAGACGAGGAGTAAAGGGGGGAAGATTCATGGGGAAATAGGATAGGGGAGCAGTGGCATGTGAATAAAAAGAAAAAACACAAAAGAGCCTAGGATTCAATTTTTCATCATAAACACACTTTCCCATTAATCAAAGAGGGAAAATATTATACAATGAAAACTTTAGATCAAGATTTAATTAATAACGACATGTCAGTCGAGGGACCTATTGGACCAACCTCATAAAAGTCTATTGAAACTTACTTCATTCCACAAAGCGTACTGTCTTTCACTCATGCGAGAGAACCCTGTTGTGAATATCTTTCCATCTTTGAGGTAAACACACTGAGCTGGTTTGGCACCTTGATGTCCTCGGCCACTCTGGCAGAGGAAAAAAAAAATACAAAAAGTTAGTCCAACCGAAAATATCAACATTGAAAAAATACAATTAGTTTTTATGTTGACCAAATGGCAAAATAGTTGGAGTTGGCGGTGTAGTTTCAAATCCAGGAGGCACAATTTTTATATGCCATATCCCTTTGGGACATTAACAATTGTATAGTCGACACATAGCAAAAGGTTACCGACCCCTGCTCTAGATCATCCACAGTAAATTTGCATCCATTTTTTTTTTTTTTTAAACATTTCACCTTTGTTGAAAGATATTTTATCACAATGTGGGATATTTAATAGTAAAGATGTGGGATATTCAATGAGGGATATTTAATAGTAAAGATGATGAAATCATACTAACATTTATCGAATACACATGAAACTTGCTTGACCAACGAAAAGAAATAAAATGAAATTAGATAGACTCATATATATATATATATATATATATATATATATATATACACAAACATATAGATTTTTAAAAAAAGACAAATTTAGAATTTCAGTATCTAAGATATACAGGTTTAGTATCCTTTATCTGAAATTCCAAAAGTTTTCCAGGTGCTGACATAACTTGCCAAAAATTTAAAATTTCAGAAAGCACTAGGAAGGTTCGTATGTGATGTGCAACTATTATAAGTGACTTCATCTGCCCAGAGTAGGGGTGTTCCTTAGCCCAGCTACATAGTGATCATCACAGCAACACCTTTGTGAATTACTTACCAGGTGTTTTGTGCTCAGTAAAGATATTCAAAATGTCAAAAAATCCTTCATATGATCATGTTTTTTGTACATGTACAGAAAGTAGAAAAGATTATTTTCGCATGATATCTTAATTTCACCATTTAAAAATCCATGTGAGCATTATATGACTAATGTCCTTACCTGTATTTGTATGTACACAAAATTTATTAAATCTTATATAACCTTCAGAGTCTATGTATAAGCCATATTATGAAATATAAAGTGATATCATGTTTATACTTGGGTTCCATTCCTAAGTTTCCTCATTTTATAGATGTTATATACAAATTAAATAACCTGTATTCCAAAATCTGAAAAAATCTGAAGACTGAATCATTTCTGGTCCCAAGAATTTCGGATAAAGGATTCTCAGCATTTATTAGATTTTTATAACTTGGTTAAAGTACAAACCAATTCATTTATTTCACAAAGTTATCTCCCTTTATCTATTTTCTTGATATAAACCAAGAAAAGCATTTCCCTTGAGATTGAAGGTTTTTTTTTTTTTTTTTTTTTGTGCAGTCAGAGAAGTAAAATTTGCTTCTTATGAAAACAATGTTTTATGCAAAACATTTTTAAACAATGTTTTTTGCCAAAACACAAACTCTGGTTAAATGAATAAATCAAAACTTTCTTTATTTTTATGATTTCCGAATAAAATAAAAAAAAAACTGGTAAGAAAACAACCATATTCTAATTCCGTGTGTTCCTTAGTCAGTATGTATGCTACACCCTGCCAATACATCATAAATAATGAAATATCCTGTTTTGATCATGAAGCAAGATAGAAAAGACATATCAGCAATGCTGTTTGGGTTCAATACAAAAACAAAAAAAAACGAAGATAGATGATATAACATTCGAGTTTAATATCTGCTTCAATAAAATGAAAAATTTTTCCATTTTAAATCTTTACATTTGTACCCTCTTACTTCTTCAAATAAAAACCTTCATTCATACTTATAATTGTTATTGCAATATTCGCTTGTTTAACAATGCAGTAAGGGAATTTCTATGGGTATTTTGTAATTGTGAAAATAACCTTTAGCTTCTGTATTGTCAGGCAATTGAATGACAAACTTGGAAAGTTGTGTCTGCGTGTATTATCATTGAAAAGAACTTCAACAGACTAAAGTAATGTTCTTATTGATGAAATTATATATGTGTACGTGGGAGATATAAACGTAAACATTGGTCATAATTATGAACATGTCGGAATGCTAAATTCAAATTTTTGACTTTAAAAATTTTTAAATTTAAAAAAACTGAATTAATTTTTGTGCATAATTATATAACCTATGTTTTCTGTTAGCAAGGCCTCTGATAGGGAGACTGGAGGTGCATGAAATCTCCTTTTAATTGCTGTTGTTCCCAGGTCCACCATTACCTTAGGGTGGTAGCACCTTTTAGGGTCCTAGCTATGGGCAAATAGCGAACCTCCAAACAAAAAAATCAAAACACTAGGAAAGTATAAAAATACATTTTTATGATAAAAATACCAGCAATACATTTTTGTAGTGAAATTATCATCTATATGTTTTTCTAGTAAAATTACCAATAATACATTTTTATGGCAAAATGACCAACAATACATTTTATAGTAGAATTACTAACAATATATTCTACATGAATAAATGCAAAATTGGAGCTGAATTCTCCCACAAATTCAAGGGTTAAAAGGTGCCAACACTACTTTATAGTAAATTACACCCGGTATTTACTCTGTCCCCCACTAGGATGAAATGTGACACAAGGTCTATTTTTAGGTGGGGACCTGAGTGCGTATACTCGGGACAGGAACAAAAATACACACTAGAAGCTTAATATACGAGTTATATATTATCTCCTAGGCAGTATCACTTTTCAGATTAACTAATTTGCATATTGATTTTAAAAAAGTTTATTTCATTAATTAACTGTCCTTCATTACTGTTCTTTTATTCGAGGTTTGGTTTGACTTTTATATCAAAAATAGTTCTGTTTAGGAATATCATCTTATATAGTGCAGAAAAGTGTTCAAAATTTGCATTTAACTTCATTTTGATTTCAATTTTTTCACCATGTTTTTCATTCATGTAAATGCAACTTATGTAAACATAAGTGACAAGGAAGCTTTAATGAAAATGGAAACAAAACAGACATTTGTACTCAAAAAGAGATAGTTGAAATTTCTATATGTTGTGTCCCTTCAGAATGTTGATGACTATGGCTCTCCACAATTTCCTATCCTTTGTAGCTCTTATAAACAAAGTCTGAAGTGAGATAGAATTCATTGATTGGGGTCTGGATTAAGAAAATTTCTCTCACTTTGTTTTTCTAATCCTGTTCAATTTCAAATTTGCCTCATAGGCTGCAAATTACAGAATCATAAAATGGGGCAGTGGGAGAAAAAGTTTATTAGAACTCACGACAATCTCCTCTCCTGTCCGGGGGTCAAGGACCCGAAGCATTTTGTCCTTTGTAGTCACAGCTACTCGACTCCCGTTCATGTTGAAACTGGCTGACAGAATCAAATCTGGAAGTTCAATCTCAACCAATGGTTCACCGGTGCCACAGTTCCACAGGAAGATCTTGTTGTCGGAACCTGAAAATATTGAAAAGACATTTAAATATACCATGCAGTCGTATGTAAGTTGGTTTGGACTAATATCCTTGTCATAATGTTTTGTCTACAGACTCACCAGCCCTCCTCAGGAATCTGTTGTGTTCTGTAATGTGGAAAATTTCTTTTTTTTTTTTCCCCTTAAATATCAATTCACCTCAAGCAAGGCAATAATGCCACTAAGACACTGTAACAAAAGAAAAAAAAATCAACAACCTTGAAAAAGAGTTTGTGTTTTGTGCATAGTCTGCCGAAGGAAAATTAAAGAAAATAGCAAAAACCTGCAACTTTACGTATCAGAGAAACTATGCTAATGTTCTTTCCTCCCTGAACGGCATGGCCAATCAGAAAAATCACTCGGTGAATAAAGGCCAGTGAATGATTTTGAGCTTGGTGAGTGAAAGTGCATTTCTGCTGGTTCGATTTCTGACCCTGTTTTCTTTACTGCTGGATTGTTTACAACAGATTTACGATTGAACTTAGTGTTGGTACATGGATCTTTTTTTTTTTTTTTTTTTTTTATTTATTTCTACTGGGAATGGAAGAGAATGAAAAGTTTTTAGAAGGAACCAGAAGCCTAATCCTAAACAGGAAAAGAAAAAAAAAAAAAAAAAAAAAAAAAAAAAAAAAAAAAAAAAAAAAAAAAAAAAAAAAAAAAAAAAAAAAAAAAAAAAAAAAAAAAAAAAAAAAAAAAGAAAAAAAAAAGATAAACCTCTTCTCCTGTTCAAAAGACTGTGGAGGAGTGTGAACTGGGCAATAGGCAAACATATCTACTTCTATTGAAGAAAAAAAAAAATTAGTAAATAAAATTTCAGGGATTCAGATGAAGACGTTAGAAGTATAGAGTTGAAGTAGACTTTAGAAGGAACCAGAAACCCCACTTCTAAACAGGAAACAAGAGAAGGAGTATGAATTTTATTCCCACCAAGACAACTCTACAGGTTATATGTACTTTATACAAGCACTAAAATTCTGACCTTGTATTAACAAATGTAGTTAGGATTTCATTCTGGCATTTTTTTTTTCATTTTTTTTTTTTTTTTGTAAGAAATTATCCAACTGAAAATCTTTGAAATAAAAAGACTTACATTTTTGAAATAAGGAATTGGTAAAAAGTAATCATAAGACCAAGTCGAACACAAAAATCTTCCCAATTTTTTTTTTTTTTTGTCATTGATCAGGGATTATTTTACAGCCAAAAGGAAATCAAGCAAACACACACACAGAGGTATGTGACATGGGATTGGCACACTGACTTCAGACTCTGGCCTCATCTGTTACATTCACTTCTACACAAATGCCCTTGGGAAAGGCACAACTATAGGTAAAATAGCAAGGTAAACTGGCTTTTGTAGCATTGAGTAGCAACCAGTCTTAGGGAAGAATAATTTGGAATTCTAGACTATGGAGAAGGCAACTAGAAACCAGTTTATTATATTTACCAAAATCAATTAGGATTTAAATAGCAAGATAGATTCGTCAGCCTAGCCTTAGAAGAAGACAAAACGATCAACTGGAAACCATTCTCTTATGTTCACCAAGAAGTCATGGCACTGCACACAGACTAAAGAAACAGAATTCATGCAAAGTCCCGTTCATCCTGAAGATTCCGAGCTGAATTTGAATATATATGTGATGGTTCCGTATAGGATACAGGTTTGATTCCTATCGGAGAATGCATATTTTCTATTAAATTTCTTGGATGTTCAGGCCAGTAAATGTTGTTAATACTGTTCATTATAAAAAGAGAATTTACTTAAATATTTGTGTGTATGTATAGAAAGAGAGAGAGAAATTAATTCTCTCTCTAAGGTTTTTCATTTAGCTGATTGATATTACCTTCAGCATCCCGACTACAAAATTTTGTAGGTGGACACTCTGAGAATCACTCCATCCACAAGTCAGGTGGGTACCAACAAAATGTGTGTGTGTGTGTGTGTGTATATATATCTCACCTAATGGGTAGTACAACACAATCAACAGATGCTGAGTTAAGACTGACTGTTAATTTAGCACCTGAAGAGTGTGTTGCACATAAAACTCACAGTTGTACTACTCATGAGGAAAAAAAATGTATGTTTATTATTAAAATAGTTTGAATATTGGTCAAGTTAATTAGATTCGCTTATGTGCAAATGACCTTGGTATGTATAAAACAGTACAACAAATTGGGCCCTTTAGCCTTGGTTGGTAACCAGTCTAAGAGAAGAACCTACTCTGATTTTAATTTCTGAGGACAGCTATTTTGGTGTCCTTGTGTCACACTATGTGTACCAGTTCTTTGCATTCAGTTCTTCCGAAAAGTGTGGTGGTTCTGCAAAAGCTGTCACCACTATGAGTGAAGGTAGTTACATTTCCTCATTTCTAAAAACAGAGCTGCTGGATTCTCATACATTGAAAACAATGGAACAGTCTATATAAAGGTTGGCTACTCATTTCAGGGAGAGAGAGAGAGTATGTGTATATATATATATATATATATATGGACATGTATCTGAATGGTTAGAACATTCATTTTCTAACCATGAGGCCCAGTTTTGAAACTCACCACTTGAACTCAAATGATCTGGAAACTGGAAATAGGTCAGGGTTTAAAAAAAAAAAAAAATTGGTGTACCATACCACTTAATTTCTTCACTTGTAACAAAAAACACTTCAAAACTTTACAGACTCATTTATGACAAATCATTTCAAATAATCTGACTTTTGCTCTTCATGGCCACAAGAACGTTGATTTTTATATCTACATACATCTATCCGACTCTATAAATGTTACTATCATATTTAGCTTTGTCTTTTTCCTTTTTTGCAAAGATTATTTCTTCGCTGTTGTATTTGTGGACATGACACTCAGGTTTTATTTTTCCTCCTAAAATCTGGGTGTAGACTGACCCCACAGCATAATACATAATAGTGAATTTTTGAGGTGATAAACTTTTTCAAAGAATTAGTTTAGACTAGCAGCATGGCTCAGTGTTGCCCATGCTTGATTCAAAAATCGTACGACTCATACAGCAATCGCTATCACTTGACTTAAAATATTTTTGCCCTTCTTTGCCTTTAAAGGAGTGCCCTTTGCCATGCTGATGTTGCTACATACCTTACTTCTTGCCTATCTCACACTGCAAATTTTTTCTAAGCTCTATACTAAACATTAAATCTGTTATGAAAAAAGAACTAAACAAAATGAACACAAAATGATCAGCTTTAAAAAAGGACTCGTAACTGGAAAACTGAATGAAAAAGAATGTCAACAACAAATACTTTTCACACACCCAACCCAGTTCTGCGGAATCAGAATCAACATTGAGTTTAAGCAAGCGAATGAGCCAATTGGAGTAAAGTGCCATGCAGATTTAAATTTTTCCCACTTGTGACGAATGCAGCTATCGATTTTTTTTGCATGCTAGTTAACATTCATGTCAGTCAGCTGTTGACTCTCATGCTGGCCAATAGAATCTTCCTGCCTATTCGTGGCAGCCAAGCTAGAGACTAACTCTGGCCAGTAGAAAATGGCCACAAACTACATGAAAACTGCCATAGAAGTATGAAAAAATGAATTATTTCCACTATCAATAGGAGTTGGGAAATGCAAAGTCGGTCTTGGCCTTCCCGCTAACTTGGAGCAAGTGCATGTAAATTTTGGTGGAAATCCGTTGAAAATTGTGGCCGTGCATTTGTTACACACATATACACACACACACACACATCATGCCTTTTATAGATAGAGATGTTATGAATTTTTTTTATGATAAATGATAAATCTGAGATATTCGTTAGGATTATTAACCGTTATATATTGGTAAATAATATTTTTACTGATTTTTTTTTTGTATTGTTTATAATTAGGATGCCTCTGGTTAGATAAAACAATAGAATCTTTATTTTTGTTTATGTCAAGTTGGTTGTTAATACAGTGTAACCCGGATATAAGAGAGTTGTCGGGACCGGAGAAGAAGTCTCTTATATCTGGGATTCTCTTATATCCGGGTTTGGTCTATTTTATATACACTAACACAGGCTCTAATTTGGGACCCAGAGAAAATCTCTTATATCCGGGTTTGGTCTATTTTATATACACTAACACAGGCTCTAATTTGGGACCAGAGAAAATCTCTCTTATATCCGGGTTTCTCTTATATCAGGGTCTCTTATATCCGGGTTTCTCTTATATCCGGGTTTCTCTTATATCCGGGTTACACTGTATTATTTTTCTAAATTTCTTGAAAGCCAAATTCATTTCTTTGCCAACAACATGGTTTGGAAAATTATTGTTGATAAGTGTTCATTTAATGTTGTTTAATGTTCTATAAAATAATTTAATACAAAGAGGAAATTATTTTCACATGGCTTATGCTTTTTCTAACATATATTTTACATCTGTGTGAACATTCACTTTTAGAATTAAGGAAGCAAATTTTTAGTTGCTTGTTTTTTTATAAAGTGAAGTGATCATTATTAGTATCTACTAGAACATCAAGAAAAGGGGTTCCATTTTTAATGTTGAGTTTGTCAATGAATTGTAAAAACAGAGCTACTTTCAAATACATAAGGTTTTTTTAAAACCTTAAATAATAAGAAAATAAATAAAAATAAATATGGCAACAAAGATGAGGACAATAGTCCAAATGATGTAAATAGTATAAACAGATTAATTAAAATTAATAACCTGTAAATGGTATCCACAGAACTCAACAAATCTGTAGGTGAGTATCATCCTGGCTATTTATATGGAAATATTAAAATCTATAAACCAAACTTGCCACTTACATCCCATAATTTACCATATTCCTGCTCTCATATATAACTTACCTAAAACTCTATACAAACTGATCCAGTCATATTGGTCTAATGAATATAGTTTTAGTTCCACCAATGAATTCATTAACATATTACATTCTAATAAACCTAACATTGGAATCCTAGCCTCGCTAGATGTTGAAAATCTGTTTCTTAATTTCCCTGTTAAAGAAACAATAGAAATACTAAGAAAAACTTTATTTAATCATCCTAAGATCACAATGCATGGTTGTTAGTAAAAGGGTGAACCCAAAATGCAAATTACAAATTGGGGATGCTAAAATCAAACAAGTACAAAACAAAATAAACATGAAATATCTGTTGTCTTTAATAATATTTGCTATATATATATGACCCTGGAAAATTTAATCCCAGTCGAGCACTCTAGAGGGAAAGCGCAAATTTGTAAATAAAGACTACTAATGCTAATACTGCAAAGCTCTCCTATGAATTGAGACCTCTCAGTCATTGGTGTGTTTATTTAAAGAATAAGTACACAAAGATATGCCTTCCTCTCTACCGAGCACTGATAGCTCAGGGGTAAAACCTCCGACTGATGCCAAATCAGTCAGGTTTTTGATCCAAGCTTGAGGTAATCAGATGTCTAGCCACACTGATGAGCAGTGATACAATGAAACAGTCTGTCTGTGGATGACTATATATATATTTCATGAATCATTTATACAAAAAACAAATATAGAGGTTAATGATTTAAATGGCGAGAATATATCTTCACAAACAATATAATTAAGATACATCAACCCCAAACCTGTATATGAATGATATGATCCCTGTTTATAAATTACAGTTGCATAAGGTCTTTAATTTTTTTACAAGCTTTCGTCTGTTCCTACAGACATCCTCAGGTATGGAAATAGATTTTGTCCTTGTTTTTACTTCTCGGTAATAACAGGACAACGAAAATAGAGATGTAATTCGAAAAAATGCTATGAGAAATGTGTTATTGTTTTGGAACTTGAGTGTGAGACCAACAAAACTCCTTGTAACACCACTGAAGGCAAGGATTATAGCAGCATTTACCAACTTGAAGAGACTGTGCAAAAGAGTTGCAGAATATTCTGTAAAACGTAGTTGAAGTCAATGGTGATTGTATTGAATACATTTACTCTTTAATATTTCAAGATATTTTTGTGTCATTTTGTTAAATATATCTCTTAATCAGTCAGTTATGTGCCATACGTGATACATGCTTAGGCAATCATGCATCTTTTGATACATGACTGATGAGGCAAATTTTTTCCCCTGCAGTAGGTTGCCATTTCTTTCTGTGGTAGGCCAGTTGCCATCCAAGGCTATAGAACCCGGTCTGACCTACTATTTACCCATAGCTGGGGGGAGAAGAAGAGTATTCATACCTTTCCCAAGGGTATTATCACATAAGTGAATGTAATGGATTCGACTGGAATTTGAACTCAGCTTTCTGATTCCTCAATCCGAGCCAATATCCATTACTCCCCCCATGCCTCCTATTTCCTATACCTGTTAATATATCTGTTAAAATGAGATGTCAGTATTATTTTCATTTTTGTGTCATTTAGATGACAATTTATACACAATATATATATATATATATATATATATATATATATATATATATATATATATATATAGTACACAGTTGTGTATATTTGGGCTACAACTCCCTCTTTTATACAAGTTTCATTAAAGATGACTGACAAGGTATTGTGGTCAAGTTTAGCTTTGTAAATATGACCATTGTTACATATTCTTTACCAATGTTGGAAACGAAATCTGGTAGCAAAAGAAAAATTCTCTTACCAGCACTGAGAAGAATGTTATGGGCTGAAGGGTGCCATACCACAATCCCCACACGTCTCTGATGTGCGAGAAGTTCTACGACAGGATCCACCATGTTGGTCACAAGGCCACCATCTGGTATGAGCCATACTTTGACCGAACAATCTTCTGAAGCACTCGCGATTATGTTGTCATTGTGTGGACAAAATGCTATGTCCAGAACAGCAGCGCGATGTCCAGCTACGAGGGGACAATCCCTGGCAACACGTCCAACCTGGATAGACAAGTAAAAAAAAAAAAAAAAAAAGAAATTAAATCAAAATTAAAACATGTCAAGGACAAAAATCATACTAAAACAATTATAACATTAATGCATGTATGAGAAAAACAAGCGTGTCCCTTTAATCAAATTCAAGATTAAGTTCTATACAAGGTTAATATTTTTCAGTCTTTTTACATCTTGAGAAGACCAAAGATTTATGCCTCAGCTGCTGATGCCAGTGCAGCATCTGTTATGGCTGTACAGGCCCACACAGGAGTGACAGTCTTGATTGGAATATAAAACATTCCTATAACTATAGATACATACATAAAAATGCATATATTCAATTGAAAATAAAATAAAATTCATCTTTGATAATGGCTAGGAGTATAGCTGAAAGTGCTTGGAAAACATTTGAACAATTTTTATATAATTTATGTCCTGTAAAGAGGAAAATTATATAAAAAAAAACTCAACCACCACAACTTTTCAGCCATTTTCAATGAAACTTGCATATATGTATATATCTATCTCCCTATAAGACAAATACCTTACACCCTCCCCTGACCCCTGCCTTGTGCCTTTCGTCTGACTGAAACATTGAAATCGATAAATTCTGTATTAGTTTTTAGACTATTTTTTGTTTGTTTTTATTTGTTTTTAGCTTTCACGGTTAAATTTCTATTTCTGACATGAATTCAGTCCACACCAGGGTTGATAAGACAGATGACCGATATCTTTGTCTGCTGAAATAGGCTATTTCTCATATGAGTTGATTTTGGATTTTATTGTTTATAATTATTTGCTCTGTGATAAATCCTTTTGTGAACCAGTTTTAATATTTTATATTACTTGGATCCACTTGGATCATATACCAACGGATTTGTTACCTTTACTCTACATAAGAAATATATATAATATCTTACATTAATTGCACAGTTCCAAGTTTCATGCCGAAGCAATTTTCAAGTGCTGGAATTATTATATCTATTTTTATTTTAAAAAAAAAAAAAAAAAAAAAAAAAAAAAAATAAAAAAATAAAAAATATAAATTCCAACACTTGAAAATTGCTTCAGCATGAAACTCAGATGTGTACTTAATGTAAGGTATTATATATATTTCTTAATATATATATATTAAATAGCTCTGTTACTTAACATTGGGCACTGTTTTTCTTCCACTATAGAGTATTCATATCTATTTGTATATGATCACTCACTCGTAATCCTACCTATATTTACCCATTTGGTCTATATATATATATATATATATATATATATATATATATATATATAGAAAAATAACAGCATATGTGGCCTGACAATTGCATATAGCATGAAACAGACTGTCGCCTCTAAGTGTTGACTTCTATGTTCACTTTTATATTTACACACGCTCTATCTCTGATATTGAGCACTTTATTCCATAAATATAGCACACCTTAAGACTATATTTATATATATATATATATATATATATATATATTAATGCATGTATAATATAGACAAGTTTTGTCTATTTTATGTAGATTCTTTTCATATCGTCTAATAAGCTTAATAACATTATCATTAAAAGATGTAAGAAAATCACCATATTGATACATATTTTTTAATCCTATCTAAACTTTCAGCTTATATAAGCCATTATCAAAGATGACAATTACATTACAACATATTAAACAATACACAGACAAAACATTGTCTTTTAATGATAATGTTAAGCTTATCAGACAATATGAAAAGAAATTACATAAAATAGACAAAACTTGTCTATATTATTTAATGAAACATGCATCAATGAAAAAATGCTGCCTAAATACACACACACATATGTGTGTGTGTGTGTGTATACATGTATGACATACATAAGTGTCACGAGACCATGAATCTGTGCCCAAAGAGTTAAGCCTCAGTTGCTGATGGCAACACTGCCTCTATTATGGCTGTACAGGCCCACACAGGAGTGACAGTCTCGATTGCAACCAATGCCTATGAAGATACTCTTCCCTGATCTTACTGTGTTCTTTTCTTTCCATTGAACATGATTCTCCCTAGCTCCAACCCTCAATGTAAATCCTATCTCCAGTGTAGGCAACATTTTCCCACCTTTCAATGTTCATTTCCATTACCCTCATGTCCCTTTTGCAGATACCCTTGAAGTGAAGATGACGTCACCCTCTTGCTGGTTGCCAGTTCATCATACAGAAGGACCTTCAGAATCCTTCCATCCAGCATACATATCCAAGCCAATGGAGCCCTCATTCCGGGCTTCAATTAGTATGACCAGTTTAATTAGTACAACTAATGCCATAGTTCTCACCCATGCCCATTTATCCAGCCTAATTTTGTTAGGTTTTCATCAAAAGGTTTTAAATATTTTCCCTTAGAAAATAACTTGGCCTCCCATGTACACTGACATAAATGTTTCTGGATCTGGGCATCAAATTTCTGACCAATTTCTCCCCAAGAGAAAAAATATGATATAAAGACAACAATTCCTCACTTTATATAAATTCAGCAACACTATAATGGCGGCTTTGTCTAATAAACATCACATAGGAAAGATGAAAATGTCAACACACACATTATATATATATATATATATATATATATATATATATATATTAAAAATATGATTCCATCGCTACATAAGAGTTCTCATGTTTCAAAAACAGGAGCTAAAATCTTCAATTTAATTATAAAAATTAAATTGAATTAAAGTATCAAGCTCTGTTTCATCTTCAAGCAAAATTTTTGGAATAACTAATCTTGAAATTTATGCATCTTTATAAGCATATTCATTCGAAATATTAATTACTATGGAAACGGCTGAAGCAATTATTTCAATAAGGGGAGTAAGGGTTAACATATTGTATCAATTTAGGCTCTACTTATGTATTGAGCACTGTTTTTTAAAAATAAAAACAAAAATAATAAAGAACTCCGGATTATTAACCTAACGTGTTCTTTCTTATTTTTCTATATATCTGCACACACACACACACACACACACACACACACACTATATAAAGACATTTTTATGTTTATACATTCTTTTTATAGATACAAATACTTAAGTAAATGCTCTGTGTATAATAAACAGTATTAAACAACATTTACCGGATGTCAGAGAAATTTTCACAGAAAATATTCATCCTTCGACATTTCTCGGACATTCAGGCCGGTAAATGTTGTTTCATACTGTTTATTATACACAGAGCATTTACTTAAATATTTGTATCTATAAAAAGAATGTGTAAACATAAAAATGTCTTAAAATAATTGTCGGACTTTGTCCATTTCATAATATATGAAGAGAGGGAGAGAGATTAGAAAAAGAAAAATAAGGATAACAATGTTAAAATATGGAATTTGACAGACATAAAAACTACACTGAAAGTAGATTTCCTAGAAAGATTATGAAATTAGCCCTAAAAGATAGTGGATTCTTGGCAACACTCATGTACACGTCACGGAGTACAAAAAAAACAACAGGAAGAGAGACATATGGTTCAACCCAACTTACAACAAAATCAGAAAAAAAACAAATATAGAAAAGATATTCATGAAACTCATTCACAAAAACTCCCCCACCAAGCACTCCTCATATTTAACAGAAACAAAATAAAAATCAGCAAAACAGTTGCACCGAGAACAACATAAATACAACACAACAGAAAAATAACTAACAAACCATCTGCAGAAACTAAACACCTGTAACTGCAGAGCAAAGAATGAATATCCCTTAAATGGTCATTGCTTGAAAATAATATAATATACCAAGCCAATGTATAAACAGCAGATAAATAAAAAATATACACAGAACTGAAGATAACAGAGAAAAAACTGAAAATGAATACCTTGTAAAATACCACCATGAAAAATGCAAATATATGCTATATACAATGCAGATAATATAATATACTTCAGGCAAAGTCATTACTCTAAACTAAACAAATAAAATAACCCTAAAAAAAAAAAAAAAAAAAAAAAAAAAAAAAAAAAAAAAAAGAAGAAGAATAAACCAAAAATATAAACAAATTTAGAAACTACAAATAAACACATGTAGTAGTAATAATAATAATAATAATAAGTAAAAAGTTAAAAAAAAACAAACTATAAAATAGCTATAAATAAGCACATAGGGATCTATTATTTCTACTCACTTTCCTCTAAAATAATTTGAAACATAACTATTATTTCCCACCCAATAACTCTAAGGATAATTGGGATTCATTAATAATAATTAAAATAATCAACAACAAATAATAAAGTAGTAATAATAAAGGCATAAAAAACTTAAACCACACTATAAAACAGATACGAATAACTGCATTCAAATCAACAATTATTTCCACTCAATAGTCTCAAGAATAATTTGAAACACAACTGTTTCCATCCACACAATAACTGTTAGGATAATACAATAGACTACCCATAATGCACCATTGACAACATATAGAGATGAGCTGAAACGTAACACACAGGGCCTGAAGGTGGTATTCAAGCATGAAACAGACTTGTCACTTGGTGTTGACCTGTGTCTACCTTTATATTTACATACATTCTATCCCTGATATTGAGTAATTTTACCCATAAATATAGCATTCCTTAAAAACTATATTTTTATACTTATATAAGTAATAACCTGGTTTACATTATTTTGTCCTATGTCAAATTTGCAAATGACACATTTTTAGAAAAAATTTCAGTTTAGGGAATGTTGCTATGTCAATCAGCAATGTCCCTTATGTCATAATAAAAAGACATGAAATACATTTTTCCTTACAAATATATTTCAAATAAATAAAAAACATAGCAATTTTTTTTTTTTTTTATCATTTCACTACAAA